TACTGGGTACAGCAAGGGATAAAGATGGACTGCACACGTTACCGGGGACTGCAACACTCACCCATACACACACGGGTTGTTACTGGGTACAACAAGGGGTAGAGATGGACTGCACAAGTTACTGGGACTAAAGCACTCACACATACATACACCGAATGCTACTGGGTACAGCAAGGGATAAAGATGGACTGCACACGTTACCGGGGACTGCANGTTACTGGGACTAAAGCACTCACACATACATACACCGAATGCTACTGGGTACAGCAAGGGATAAAGATGGACTGCACACGTTACCGGGGACTGCAGCACTCACCCATACACACACCGGGTGTTATTGGGTACAACAAGGGGTAGAGATGGACTGCACAAGTTACTGGGGACTGCAGAACTCATACACACACCGAATGTTACTGGGTACAGCAAGGGGTAGAGATGGACTGCACAAGTTACTGGGGGCTGCAACACTCACACATATACACACCGAATGTTACTGGGTTCAGCAAGGGATAAAGATGGACTGCACAAGTTACTGGGGACTGCAACACTCACCCGTACACACACCGAGTGTTACTGGCTACAACAAGGGGTAGAGATGGACTGCACAAGTTACTGGGGACTGCAACACTCACACATACATACACTGAATGCTACTTGGTACAACAAGGGAAAAAGATGGACTGCACACGTTACCGGGGACTACAACACTCACACATACACACACTGACTGTTACTGGATTCAGCAACGGATAAAGATGGACTGTACACGTTACCGGGGACTGCAGCACTCACCCATACACACATCGGGTGTTACTGGGTACAGCAAGGGGTAGAGATGGACTGCACAAGTTCCTGGGACTGCAACACTCACACATACATACACCGAATGCTACTGGGTACAGCAAGGGGGCACACGTTACCGGGGACTACAGTACTTCACACATACACACACCGACTGTTACTGGGTACAGCAATAGATAAAGATGGACTGTACACGTTACTGGGACTGCAGCACTCACCCATACTCACACCGGGTGTTACTGGGTACAACAAGGGGTAGAGATGGACTACACAAGTTACTGGGGACTGCAACACTCACACATACACACACCGGTATAGCCAAATAACAAGATTAAAGCAATCTGCCTACAGGAAAGTTTGTCGAGGCATCCCAAGGTAATTCGCAACTTACATATGCATTAAGATTAGTGAAAGCTCAAGTTTTGAGAGCACAT